TGAATGGCATAGAATAGAATACAGAATATAGAGTATAGAATATAGAAGAAAATAGAAGAAAATGAATGGCATAGAATAGAACAGAGAATATAGAATATAGAACTCATGATCTCAAATTTAAATGTCATGCTTGGAGGAATAAGTTTAAACAGGACCCTGAAATTAATCTTGCTTTCTGTAAAAAACCTTCAACCCTTTCCCTTCAAATATGCCAATCCATTTTTAGTGTAGCAATTGCAATCAAATTTCCCACCCCCCTAACCTATGGTCTTTGATTTCTAACTTTGGGGAACTTGGCCTTGTTGTCTATCTTCCTGTTTTCATAAACTTTGACGTTTCTTCTTAATTTTGATAGGGCAAAAACAAAAGCAAGGGAACTCTTTTATTTTGCTTTATTATTTTATTTTATGGGTTGAAGAAGGACCTTTAGCAGCTTTGCACCTGGACTTCAGTTCCAACCTTGCCTATTTTAATATAAGCCAAAATGTATATTGTATGTTCTACGCAAAAATGAACATTCAATACTGTTCCATTGACACACTTACCTGTGCCATTCACCATACTGCAATAACTTTCCCAGTATTTAACGGTCCTTTGAAAAAGAAAAAAATAACATACAGCTTAGATGCCAGGTAATTTTCTTAGCTAAACAATTGTCTTCTGAATCTAAGAAAAGTGTGAAAATTAAATAAATACAGGGACAGGATAGATATTCTAATCTCAAAGCCTCTTATAATCAGATTCTTCATAAGAAGGAATTGAAAAAGGTGGAAAAAATTAGGATAGGATAAGAGGGGTATGTATAGTTAATAAGTGTCAGACCTGTCCCAACCTGAGCATTCAGGAAAGAAAGACTCTTGATTCCATTTTGGTGGTTCAAGGTATACTTTTACTGAAGCTAGTTGGTTATAGTGTAGCAAAGCTAGGTCTAAGGGTTTCCAAACTTGGAATTTTCCCCTCCTCTCAGGCCCTCCCACTATGATCAACTTGGTGGGGTTCAAACTTGGTGTTTTGATAACACTTTTTGGTGCCTCTTTGATGGCTGTTTGCATTTCATTCTCAAGGTTGTGTCCTTGGATCGCTCAACCATAGTCTCTGGCTATCATTCCCTCCCTTTCATACCCCCTCTCCAAAATTTATGGCAGGATGCTATCAAAGCGAAGTGAAGCAAGGCTGAAGTGGTTTGATGGCAGACCTGACCACAAAACTGTTTCAGGCTAAATTAATTTCCTCTTATGAACTATGTTGCACCCAATGAAGTCCTAAAAAGGGTTTTTAGAAAAATGGAGGTCCTTGTCTTCTTACTTTTCCTTTCTTCCTGCCACAGAGGGGAAATTGAATGAACAAATAAGGTTAACAGTAGTTCACCAGCTCTGCCCAAAAGAGTCTCAACCCTGGTGGCATCACTGCACATTTTTAATCATCATTAATCTGCTCACACCTCTGCGTTTGGGATGGCAAATGAGTGCTACTACAAATGCAATATTCACTTATTTATGTTAAGGACTTGACACTTAAGGCTCAAGTGAAAGACTTTCTAGTTAGGACTGACCCTATGATGACATTAGAAAGTCATTTTATGCAAGAACCTAACAATTGTCCTTGAGAATATATGAGGCAGATATTTCTCTCTCTGAGTACAATGAGAATATATCTGTTGAACAAAACTCCTCAGTGGTGACAAGAAGGGCATCCGGCCATTAAAACACTCCACTAGCTGCATTCAGTTGCCCAGACTATCTATCTGTCTGTCTGTCTGTCTGTCTGTCTGTCCGTCCGTCTATTAATATCATCTGGAGTTCACAAAACAGAACTGATACTAAACTGTTGTAATTTTTTTTAAAAAAGCTATGTTTTCCCCAAATATATTATACCTGCTATTATTATAAGTGAGGATAGATCCTTTCTTGGTTAAATCACCTTTTCCACTGTAAATTTGGTAAGGACCATCAGATGTTTCATTGTACTTGAATGAGAGAAAGAGAGAGAGAACAGAAAATTAATTTTTGATACAAACAGGCTCCATCATCAAGATAAAACTGGCTAGCATTTAAAAATCTGCTCTACAAAATCTAAGATATGAACAACATTTTTCATTTTCTGTTTTTAGTAGGACACTGGTGTTTTTTCTTCTCTGTACCTAGGACACGGAGATCTTAATTTTTGAAGTAGGCATATTCACTGCTCAAAAAGATAAAGGGAACACTTAAACAACACAATGTAACTCCAAGTCAATCACACTTCTGTGAAATCAAACTGTCCACTTAGGTAGCAACACTGATTGACAATCAATTTCACCTGCTGTTGTGCAAATGGAATAGACAACAGGTGGAAAGCATAGGCAGTTAGCAAGGCATCCCCAATAAAGGAGTGGTGACCACAGACCACTTCTCAATTCCTATGCTTTCTGGCTGATGGTTTGGTCACTTTTGAATCCTGGCGGTACTGTCACTATAGTGGTAGCATGAGACCGAGTCTACAACCCACACAAGCGGCTCAGGTAGTGAAGCTCATCCAGGATGGCACATCAATGCAAGCTGTGGCAAGAAGGTTTGCTGTGTCTGTCAGCGTAGTGTCCAGAGCATGGAGGCACTACCAGGAGACAGGCCAGTACATCAGGAGACGTGGAGGAGGCCGTAGGAGGGCAACAACCCAGCATCAGGACTGCTACCTCCGCCTTTGTGCAAGGAGGGACAGGAAGAGCACTGCCAGAGCCCTGCAAAATGACCTCCAGTGGGCCACAAATGTGCATGTGGCTGCTCAAACGGTCAGAAACAGACTCCATGAAGGTGTTATGAGGGCCCGATATCCACAGGTGGGGGTTGTGCTTACAGCCCAACACCGTGCAGGACGTTTGGCATTTGCCAGAGAACACCAAGATTGGCAAACTCACCACTGGCGCCCGTACTGTTCACAGATGACAGCAGGTTCACACTGAGCACATGTGACAGATGTGACAGGGTCTGGAGACGCCGTGGAGAACATTCTGCTCCCTGCAACATCCTCCAGCATGACCGGTTTGGCAGTGGGTCAGTAATGGTGTGGGGTGGCATTTCCTTAGGGGGCCGCACAGCCCTCCATGTGCTCGCCAGAGGTAGCCTGACTGCCATTAAGTACCGAGATGAGATCCTCAGACCCCTTGTGAGACCATATGCTGGTGCGGTTGGCCCTGGGTTCCTCCTAATGCCAGACAATGCTAGACCTCATGTGGCTGGAGTGTGTCAGCAGTTCCTGCAAGACGAAGGCATTGATGCTGTGGACTGGCCCGCCCGTTCCCCAGACCTGAATCCAATTGAGCACATATGGGACATCATGTCTCACTCCATCCACCAATGCCACATTGCACCACAGACTGTCCAGGAGTTGGGGGATGCCTTAGTCTAGGTGTGGGAGGAGATCCCTCAGGAGACCATCTGCCACCTCATCAGGAGCATGCCCAGGCATTGTAGGGAGGTCACACAGGCACATGGAAGCCACACGCACCACTGAGCCTCATTTTGACTTGATTTAAGGACATTAAATCAAAGTTGGATCAGCCTGTAGTTTTTTTTTTCCACTTTAATTTTGAGTGTAATTCCAAATCCAGACCTCCATGGGTTACTAAATTTTATTTCCATTGATAATTTTTGTGTGATTTTGTTGTCAGCACATTCAACTATGTAATGAACAAAGTATTTAATAAGAATATTTCATTCATATATATATATATATGAAAATGCCCTGAATCAGCTTTAGACAAAGCATTCACGTATTTTAAAAATAACTCAACCCAATATAAGATAAACTCCCAGGAATTGACAAATATTTTAACCTCTCTTGTATGACAAAGATGCAAATTGTTTATGGACATTAATGCTAATGTTTCCACTTCCTTGATCATCCCATTTTGATTATCCCATTTCCCCCTTCCTGCCTTAGAATTAGCTATGTCATTTTTTAAATTAATTAGAATTGCTAATGTTGCATTCTGAATGTTGATCATCAAAAAATTGCCATTGCTTTCAACTCTTATCCACCTTCCCATTTTTCACGCACAGTGTCAAAAATAATGTTAAAATTGTGATGCAATCACAGTCATAAAACTGTCAATGCGTTTACAACACAGTCATTGATATAATGACTAATTGCTAATGGAGTAAGATGTCTTATTACATAGATAAATAGGAAAATAATCAGTTGCAAAAAAATATTGAAAATTAAAAAACCAACCCTTTCATTTCTGAAATAAGGATAGCATATTCAGATATCCAAGTTCCCCCAAAGTGGCAAAAAAAAGTAGATTTTCACATTTGTTTCCCCCCTCCAACTATGATCCAGGACTAACCCTGCTTAGCTTTCTAGACAAGCCACAGTCAGATTGGTGCTATCACTTGATGAAAGGAAACAAGATAAGAAAATTATTTGATACCCCTATCAAAATCATATTTGTTGCTTTATTTCTAAGATGCGATGAAGTAGATTGATACCAGCAATGCTTTTGTATCAAGAATAAAAAACCTATTGACTTTCAATCAGCCATGCTAACACAGAAATCATTATTCTAATTTCAATGTTCTGAATATTCCGGATTTTAAAGAGGTGTTGACAAAATGAGGAGCCAGATTATTGGGGGCAATGTGCTAACATTGTAAATTGCTTAGAGACAGTTTTAAAGCAGTATATAAGTCTATGTGCTGTTGCTATTCCTTCCTTCCTTCCTTCCTTCCTCCCTCCCTCCCTCCCTCCCTCCCTTGTTCTTTTTCTCATTCTTCTTTCTGTTGGTGCAGTGGTTAGAATGCAGTATTGCAGGCTAATTTGTGCTCATTGCCAGCAGATCGATTCTCACCAGGTTCAAGGCTGACTCAGCCTTCCGTCTTTCTGAGGTAAGTAAAATGAGGACCCAGATTGTTAAGGGCAAGATGCTAACATTTGTAAACCACTCATGTCTGTAAAGGGCTGTAAAGCACTATGGGGGTTGTAAAGCACTATGAAGTGGTATATAAGTCCAAGTGCTATTGCTATTCCTCCCTCCCTCCCTCCCTCCTTCCTTTCTTCCTTCCTTTTCCTCTCTTATTCCCTTTCTCATTCTTCTTCCTGCTGGTGCAGTGGTTAGAATGCAGGTTTGCAAACAAACTCTGCCGACTGCCAACAGTTTGATTCTCACCAGGCTCCAGGTTGATTCAGCCTTCCATCTTTCTGAGTTCAGTAAAATGAGGACCCAGATTGTTGGGGGCAAGAGGCTGACTCTGTAAACTGCTTAGAGAGGGGCTGTAAAGCACTATAAAGCGTTATATAAGTCTAAGTGCTATTGTTATTATATACCAGCACAGATGCTTTTCTTACAATCACATTGTAAGTAAATAATTTTCCCTTTGAGTTTATACTTACAGGGTAGAATACTCCTACAACCTTAGTAACTTTTGACATTGGGATTTTCTTCAAGAAGGGATCTTCATAGCCCCAAAGTAATTCTTTCACGCTTCTTGTTTGGAGGAAATTTGATTTGGAAGATTTCATCCAGATGTCCATCAAAGCTTGAATAAGTCCAGCTTTAAACAAAGCTGGTGCAGCCTGTGACAAATACCAAGATGATTGCATTAACAGAGGGATACAATCAAGATCAAGGGAGGTACTAATGCCACTCTAGAAAGCCTTAGTAAGACCACACCTAGAGTACTGCATCCAGTTTTGGTCACCACACTATAAAAAAGATGTTGAGACTCTGGAAGGAGTGCAGAGAAGAACAACCAGGATGATTTAGGGGATTGGAGGTTAAAATATACGAAGAACGGTTGCAGGAACTGAGCCTGGCTAGTCTAGTGAAGAGAAGGACCAGGGGAGACATGAGAGCAGTCTTCCAATATTTGAGGGGCTGCCACAGAGAGGAAGGGGTCAAGCTATTCTCCAAGGCACCCAAAGGCCAGACAAGGAATAATGGATGGAAACTGAACAAGGAGAGATTCAACCTTGAAATAAAGAGAAATTTTCTGACAGTGAGAACCATCAACCCATGGAACAGAAGTTGCCTTCAGAAGTTGTGGGAGCTTCATCACTGGAGGCTTTCAAGATGAGACTGGACTGCCATCTGTCAGAAATGGTGTAAAAATGGGGGTTGGACTAGATCAATGGTGGGATTCAAAAATTTTTTACAATCGGTTCTGTGGGCATGGCTTGGTGGGCATGGCAGGGGAAGGATGCTGTAAAATCTCCAGTCAGAGGTGGGATTTGCTGGTTCTCCCAACTACTCAAAATTTCCGCTACCGGTACTGCAGAACTGGTCAGAATCTGCTGAATACCACCTCTGGACTAGATGACCTAACAAGGTGTCTTCCAATTCTGTTAATCCAATTCTAAGTCTAAGACTTAAATTTTGGACACTGGAATGCAAATCGACATAAAGAACCTTGACGTAAGTCCCATATATGATCAAATCACAAAATATCTTAAAAGTTTTGAACCTGAGCATATGCTGAACATTAATTGGTATCATTAATACAGATACTTCGACTTACGACCACAACCGAGTCCAAATTTTCTGTTGCTAAGTGAGGCAATTGTTAAGTTGAGTTTTGTCTCACTTTACGACCTTTCTTGCCATGATTGTTAAGTGAACCACTGCAGCCATTAAGTTAGCAACACCGTTGTTAAAATGAATCTGGATTTCTCTTTGACTTTGTTCATCAGAGGGTCGCAAGCAGGGATTGCGTGACCCTGGGATACTGCAACTGTCACAAATGTGAGTCCGTTGCTAAGTGTTGGAATTTTGATCACGTGACCATGGGGATGCTGCAATGGTCGTAAATGTGAAAAATGGTCATAAGTCACATATTTCAGTTCCGCAAGCAGCTGCAGAAGAAGTGGGCCAGCAGCAGGCTTCTACTGGACAGGGATATCGGTGCTGCCACTGCGAGGTGAATCAGTAATTAGATCTCATTGGTTGGGGGTTTGGCTGTGTTCTGATTGGTTGGGGGTTTGCTGTGTTCTGATTGGCTGGGGGCTTTGAAGCGGGTAGTGATACAGCTGTGGTACGGCTTCTGGTCCGTGGTCGTGTCTCATCATCTGTGTGGGTGTGAGTCTTCTTTCTACATGGAAGTGTGGTGGTAGCATCTTGTGTGGCCCTCGTGGGTGTGGGTCTGGTGTCATTCTTCATGTTAGGTACTCGTTTGTTAATGAGGGCGGGTTTCCAAATGGCTGGTAGGCGGGAGGTATCATCTCGTTTATTCATGCTGTGTGGGCATTTTTCTATCTCTATGGCTTCTCTGATTATTCTGTTGTTGAAGTGTTCAGTTTTGGCGATAGTTCTGGTATTTTTAAAGGCAATCTCATGTCCTGTGACTTTGAGGTGGTGGACCAGGGAAGAGGTCGGTTCTTCTTTTTTGATTGAGTTTTTGTGTTCTTCAATGTGTGCACTTATTCTTCTGTTGGTTTGTCCGATGTATGTGGTGGGACAGGCGGTGCATGGGATTTCGTATACTCCTTGGTTTTCTAACTCGATTCTGTCTTTAGGGTTTCTTAGGATGGTGGATATTTTTTTGTTTGTGCAGAATGCTGTCTTAATGTTGTGTTTTTGGAGGATCTTGCTGATTTTGTCTCTAGTGCCTTTTATATATGGGAGGAGGGCTTTGCCGTTCTCTTGTTCTCTGTCTTGGATTTTGGTTGGGGTTTCTTTTTGGATTAGGTGGGTAATCTTCTTTCTTTGGAATCCATTGGCTGTTAGTATGTTAGTGAGAGTGTGTAGTTCAGTTTTTAGGTGTTGTTCGTCGGCTAAGCATTTTGTTCTGGAGATGAGTGTCGCAGCTACGGAATTGATCTGTGCTGGGTGGTGGTGTGAGAGTGCATGTAGATAGTGGTTTGTATGTGTTTTCTTCTGCTAGATGGTGTCTCCTAGGGAGCCATTGGATTTTTTTGTATATTAAGACATCTAGGAAGGGAAGTTGATTGTTAGCTTCTGTTTCCATTGTGAATTGTATTTTGGGGTGTAGGCTGTTGAGGTGTGTGAGGAAGTTGTTCAGTTTTTCTTTCCCGTGTGGCCAGATTATGAAGGTGTCATCTACGTATCTGAGCCAGAGTTTGGGTTTGTGATCATATTTTTCTAGAGGTTTGCGATGACAGGTAAGAGGGGTGATCCCGGGGTGCTCCTTCTATTTGTTTGTATTTTTGTCCATTGTAAGTGAAGTATGTATTGGATAGGCAGTGGTTGGTCAGATCTAGGATGTGCTTGCGGGGTTGTATTTGTTTTGGATGGCTGTCAAGGCTTCTTTTATAGGCACTTGGGTGAAGAGGGATATGAATCAAAGCTCACTAGTAGGTTGCTGGGCTGTAAGTTTTGTTTCTTTATGATCTCAATGAACTGGAATGAGTTTCTTACGTGTGAGTTGATGGATTCTGCATAGGGCTGTAGATGTTTGGCGAGAAATTTGGCTAGGTTTTGTAGAGGTGAGCCTATGGAACTGACTATTGGTCTAAGTGGGGTTCCTTCTTTGTGTGTGTGTGTCTGTGTGTGTGTCTGTGTGATATATATATATATATATATATATATATATATATATATATATATATATATATATATATATATATTCTCACAGGTGAACACTATACAGAAGCCTGATGATGACAGATGAGATTCTGCCGAAACGTTGCTACAACTTTAAAAGCACAACTATAATGACGTGGGAAAATACCCGAACAAAGCTGAATACCATACACATACATACATACATACATACATACATACATGTATATGTATATGTATATGTATATGTATACACACACACACATATATATATACATATACACACACACACAAAAAAAATAGATAGATCAAGAAAGAGGTATGTGAGAGAGAGAGAGAGAGATTATATATGTGTGTGTGTAGTGTAGAGAGAGACAGACAGATAAACAGACACAGACAGATATGATAGATAGATAGATAGATAGATAGATAGATAGATAGATAGATAGATAGATAGAT